AGCATGGTCGGTGTCTTCTCAATATTTTACGATCACGTCCATGTACACCTCGAGCATGTCTCCGATTTCGTTGCAGAAGACTTTATTCATCATCCGCTGGTATGTCGCTCCCGTGTTTTTTAGACTGAAGGGCATTACGTTGTAGTAGTAATTTTCCGAGCTGGTCATGAAAGCGGTGCAGTGCTTGTCGCTCATTCCCATTGGGGTTTGGTTGTAGCCCAAATAGGCATCCACGAAAGATAAAATTTATAGCCGACCGAGTTTTCGACCAGCATGTCAATATTAGGCAAGGGGAATGCATCTTTGGGGCATGCCCGGCTAAGATCGGTATAGTCAACACATATACGCCGTTTTCCATTATTCTTTTTAACAAGTACAACATTTGACATCCAGGTTGAATACCGGGCTTCAGAAATAAAATTTGCCTCTAGGAGGTCTTTTACAGCTTTTTCAGCAGTCTTCATTTTCTCGGGGGACTGCATACGCTCACGTTGTACTATTGCCCTAGCGACTGGATCGATGGCCAAGTGGTGACAAGAAACCTCAGGGTCGAGTCCGGGAATCTATGTGGTGCTCCACACGAACAGATCTGTGTTTTCCCTCAAACAAGCCTTATTTTGCTTCCTCGCCAGGTCGGGGAGTTCAGTGTGGATCTTCACCCCCTTTGTGTGGGTATTCATCGAGGGGGACGAGCGCAAAGTCTCCATCTGGAATTGGTCAGAGGATTCCCTGCTCGCCGTTGGGCACTTCTTCCTGGTCGAAGCGGTTGCCTAGTGAAATTGAGTCAACCTTTGGAGGAGCTCTCTGTTCTTCTATCTTGATGGGTTATGGCTCTGGTTATACTGTTGCGGCTCTCTTTATGGGTCGTGCTCCAGTGTCGACCGTACTCTGTCCCTTTGATGCTGCGTTGAAGCATCTTCGGGCAGCTGCTAGGTCGTCTTGGATGGTGGCAACACATCCTCTCTTTGTGTAGAATTTCATCTTTAGATGGACGGTCGAGGGAACCGCGGTCAGTTCCGCCAGTGTTGATCTCCCCAGGATACAGTTGTAGAGAGACGGACAGTTGATGACCAGAAAGCGCACCTTGACTTGCCTGGTGGCTGTATCCTCGCCAAAGGTGACCATAAGCTCTACGTACCCCCACGGCTTGGAGGTCGAGCCGTTGAAGTCCTGCAGGTTGGACCCCACATATGGTGAGAGGTGGGTATCATCGAGCTGCAGAGTTCGGAAGAGTTAGTTGTACATCACGTCGAGGAAACTCCCTTCATCGACCAAAACACAATGAATGTCAAAGTTATCCATTCTCGCCCTAACCAAAAGAGGAATGGCTGAGTTTGGGGCCACTTTGGTCAATTCTTGAGGTAGAAGGTAATCGACTCCGATCTGCCTTTAACCCTCTTGAAAGTCACCGTTTACAGGGGGGAGGGGGGCGTCGACCAGCTCCTCCAACTTCCTCTTCGCAGAATTTATGGTTATATCAATGAATCCCCCACCATTTATGACCATGGCGGAGGGAAACCTTTCCCACCTACTGTGCATGGTCAGAGGCTCCTCGATATCTTCGGGAACATAGAAGTCCTCCGGTCTTGTAACGAAGAATGTTGTCTGGATGGGAACCATCTCGTCTGATGGTCGGGCATCCTCCTCAATCTCCTTTGTGTCACGGATATCTCGACGAGGGGCGTCGCCGCGCTGATATTGCCCGAGTCTTCCCCCTTTGATGAGGGTCTCAATAGCATCTTTGAGATGGACACAATCTTCAGTCAGGTGTCCATGACTTTGATGATATTGGCAGTATTTGCTTCGATCAGCCCCGAGCTTGGCAGGAGCGGAGCGAGGACGCTTGACGCCACCGTCCTTGAAATTAGTGTTAGCGCACTCCTCCAAGATACGCTCGCGGGAAGCTGTCAGCAAAGTGTACTCGGTAAACCGCCCCGAGGGTCCTCTTTGCTCGTGAGGATCTCGAGGTTTGTCATCCCTCCTCTTCTAGCTAGTTCATCGAGAAGGGCCGAAATCTTGTTGTCTCAGATTGCTGGTTGATCCATGATTCCTGGGGTCCCGGGCTCTGTTGGCCGCTTCCCTCTCCTCATAGTCCATGTAGGCTCTAGCCTTCTCAAGGAGAGCATCGAATGTCTGCGGTGGTTTGATGTCAACGACTTTTCTGAACTCGGTGCCCAGGAAGAGGCCCCTCTCGAGCAAGTATCTCTTTATATAATCGGTGCAGGGGACCTAAATGGCATCGCGGTTGAACCGATCAGTAAACTCCCAGAGGGTCTCGTCGTGTCTCTGGACGATTTCCTCGAGGGCCGCTTTAGTCTTTGGATGTCGACGTGAAGAAGTGAATGAACTGATGAACTGGTTTTTTAAATTTCTCCAGGAGGTGATTGACCCCGAGGTGAGGCTCTTGTACCAGTCCATCACGGCCTTTCTCAAAGTCGTGGGGAATAACCAGCATTTGATTGGTCCCTCGACGTTATGGTAATGCAGCTTTGCCTCGAACCCGTCGATATGGTCGACTGGGTCAGCGATACCATCGTACTCCTTCAGATGGGTGCCTCCATAATAGCTTGTGACAAGGGACCGCGGGGGTCGTCCTCGTCACTTTTGTCTGGCGAGCGAGAAGGAGATCAGTCGCAGTGGCGGTTGTGATGGTGACCCTGGTCGCGCGGAGGATTCCTCGGGCGGTGTGGTCGTTGGTCATTTCTCCTATTCTTGTTTTCAGGGGATCTTTGCTCTTGACACGGGGGAATGTGATGGCGTCTCCCCGTATCTACGGGCTGGTCCCTCTCCAACGCGGGGCGTCACCCAATCGGCCTGGGAGAGAGGCTACGAGAGGCGCCCCGTCTGCGTCTCTGTGGGGGAGATTGGGGACGTTCCTCTATCTGACGAGGAGAAGGAGAATGAGGCCTCATATGTCTTCTGGGGGCTCTCAGAGAATCTTCAAGCGCCCTTAATCTCTCCCCTTGGGAAAAGATCAAGAAGTTTGTTTGATTTATTACCGCGAACAGTGCCCTTGTCGTGGCATCAGCACCCGCGGGAACAAGGATCTCCTGGAACGCGGGTGGTTGGTAGTTCTGGAGAGGACGACGATCGTCTTCGAGCCATCGGGACAGTGACGATGAAGAGACAGTCAGCCTGTCTCTGTACTCTGAGGGACCGGGCATATCACTGGCGTGGCCGTTGTTGTTGCCGATGTTGAGGTCAGTGAGACCAGCGTTGTTCTCTTCAGTGTTGGGGTCAGCGACATTGTTGTTTTCTATCGTGTGATCAACCATGACAGTTAGAAAGTAGTTGAATTAGATTTTGTCTCGTGTGAATGGAAGATGGGGAAGAAAGTTTCCCACAAACGGCGCCATTGATCGTACTTGACCAGAATGAATCGTCACAACTTGCTCTGAGCAGAATTTGAGAGTGAGGTGGGGGGAGGAGGTACCTGTAAGACACTCCGATGCCAAAATAAGTTCCAGAATGAGCAAGCAAGTAAGTGAGTAAGAAATGTTCAATACATGACCCTCTCGAAAGAGAGGGTATTTATAGCCCTCAGCGCTGGGCCAGGGTCTCCTTATTGGGCCGATCAAGCAGATCCAAAGTGGAGACTGCCAGGTTCTATGTGAGTAGTGGAGACCCGCGCGTGGTCCTCCTCCTGGATGACTTCCTCCGCAAGATCAAGAGGATATGAATGCAATCTTTCCGGGGCCACGAAGACTTCGCGATATTCAGAGACGTTGATAGTCAGTCCTACGAGGAGGATGCTCGTGAGGTGCTTCTGCTCGTCGCGGAATGATCCCCGCCAGACGCGAGGTCCTGTGAGGAGATAAGGTTTGGTCGAGGAGGATCGAAGGGTGTCCTCAGGACCATCCTGACCGGGGGGTGAGCTCCCTAAGGCTAACTTGGTTTTCCCCTCGTGCAGTGAGATCGCTTCTTTACGGAGAGTGGAAGTTTCTGCCCGACGTAAATTGGGTCTCACGTGGAGTTGGGTCAAGGACAAGTCCAGTCCAAAACAGCTATGTTATCGGACAAATTTGTATATTATATCTAGTGTGTCTTTATTTTAAAATCCACACAGTGCAAGAGAGGGAAGAAGATTCTCTAATTTTAAAATCTCTAATTTTCCCTAACTTTAAGCAACTTTCATGAGAAAGGGGTGAAATAATGGAGGGAAACAAGATGAAAGAGATTGCATTTTTAGAGAGATAGAGGAAAAGTTAGAGTGCATTTCCCGCACTAAAGTCAGAGAATCCATTCCCACAAGATAGACCATTTAAAAATTCATAAAATTTAATAGAAATATTAAGAGTGGAATGAGCATCTCCTTCTCTGTTATGCAAAATGTTATGATTTAACCAAAGCAAACTAGTGCACCATAATAATGACAAAGACAGCAATAGTACTTGATAAATAGATGCAAAACAACTTCAACCGCTATTAATGAAGTAGCATCACGAGACTAATGAATGACCCATCCTTTAGAAAAAAGGACTTTAAAACCAAGTAGATGACTAATCAGATAGAAAAAAAGGACTTTAAAACCAAGTAGATGACTAATCAGATAGAAAAAAAGGGTCCTACTATGAAAAGTTCCCTGACAATCAATGTCTAATTATCCATACACTTGGCACCCTCAAATATGGCCATCTTGCACTACAAAAGGTCACATTTGTCAATGAGATTGATAGTTACCAAAATGTTTCATCACAATAATGTAATTAATATTCTGTAGTTGATGTATTCATTCAAATAATACTTTTACTTTGAGAGAATCATGGTTATTTTTAAATGTAACAACCAAATTTGACTGTGTTACAGTGTCACAATTAACCAATGAATGAAATGACTCAAAAACAGAAAAGCACATATACCATCACTTCATAAAAATCAACACAAACAACACAATGTTTGGCCCCATCTATAGCAATTGATTTTTGTATACATTTTCAAGTTATGGAGAGTCACATCAGCCAACCAATTTTAGAAAAACCATCCTCCAATCAAAGTTTAATTCATTCTGCATTTTCTTGTCCTGGATAATTACCTAATTGCTTCATCTGCCAGCTCTCATGAGGGGCTACATGCTCATGGGAAGGAGAGTAGCTCTGCAAAAAGTTCAACTCAGCAATTTAGTCTTTTGATTAACACAACAACAAAGTAATGTAAATAACTATGTATCACAGCACTTCAAATTGAAGGCGCGTTCGGTGTCCAACATGTCTAAATGCCCAACACGACATGTCTCAGTGTTCTATTTTCTTCAATACTAATGCCGATGTATCAGTGTCAATGCTGTGTCTGGTGTCTATGTTGGTGTAAGTGGTTCATACTATTTGACATACAGGTTTACAAGTATTAAAAAACAGTAAACTCCTATTTAACAACTATCACACAACAAAGTTCCTTATAGTAGATAAATATGAGTTCCAATCTATTTTCATGAGACTTAATAGACTCTTAAGTACATGATCAATTTTAGGTATCGAATTGAACCCCTTAACTCAATTTTTTCTTATATTAGTAAGGCAATTAACCATAAGATAAAAAAGGTTAGTCATAGATAGACCTCCATCTCCATCATAAGTTCTTTGGCGGATGAAGCTGAGACGACTATATTCCGAGCACAGGGCTTAATGAAGCCTTCTTCAACACCATTGTCAAATAGTGCAAGCAAAAAGTTATAGTAACCATCAACATTGAGTAGGCCAACCTGTGTGCAGGACGATATATTGGTTAACAATACGGAATATAATAGTATACATCAACGATTTTATTCAGCAAAGTAACAGCATAACGTTACCGGTTTTTTATGAATTCCAAGTTGTGCCCAAGTTATCATCTCCAGAAGCTCTTCCATAGTTCCGTATCCTCCTAATCGCGACGAAACAATGCAGGGTATGAGAAACAGGATAACAAACAGATTAACAAAATAAAAGAACATTTTTCTTTAGTAGCATTCACATGTAATAAAACACACTCATTAATCACTTCTAAAACTATTTCAGAGGATGTAACTAACTACCAGGGAGTGCAATAAAAGCATCAGCTTCTTGAGCCATCGCAGCTTTCCGCTCATGCATATCGGAAACAATTCTTACTTCACCAACTGTTTCGCCAGATATCTGTCAAAACAGACCAATTGCATCATACATAGAAAGAACACTATAAACTCAGTCACTACATTTCTTTTGGCTCAAATTCAGATTACTTTTTCACAAGAACCAATTCATTGCTAGGGAACAAACTAACACTATAACAGTAACAAAACAGTAGTAGTAGCAAAAATACCTCATGAGGCATGAGAGCTTTTGGAATAACCCTGCAAATTCATAGCAATATCAATCAATAACAATACAAATCTAACAAACTGATAACAATCAATAACAATACAAAGCTTACACAGTTGAATGAATATAAAACATGTTTCTTCATTTAAGCATACCCTAGAACATTGCAGCCACCATTATACATTTTCTGAGATATCAACCCCATCAGTCCAACACTTCCTCCACCATACACCAAATCTATCTTCCTCTTAACCTGAAATTCACAACAACACACAAAACACAAAAAAAAAAAACCACCTTAAATTCTTTACACAAAAAAAAAAAACCTTAAATTCTTCACACAAAAAAAAAAAAAATTTCAGACATGGTCAAGAACAAGAACAAGAACATCATTTGACAAAACGACAAGAACATCACTGATGACAACACCATTAATCAAGAACAATAAATGCATTAACAAAAAAAGTTGTTAGAATGTTAGTTACCACAAAAAAAGCAAATATTCTCTGACAAGTTTACCTACCCAGATAGTACCCTTTATGGAAAAATCAAAAAGATGATTTTTTTAACCAAATAGTGTTGAAAAGGAAAAAAGTCTGACCAGTTCATCGGCTAATTCAATGGCGGCGTCACTGAAAACTTGACGGTTGCCGGAGTTGCTGCCGCAGAACACACATACCCTATTGAACTTTCTGCTTCTGGGGTATGCTTCCTCCATTCAATCAAAATCGATTCTTTCTTCTTTGTTTTTTCTTTTGTTTTTCTCTTGTGCTTTATCATTTGCTTTATAAACTAAAAAAAATGAAACTTTTTTTTTTGGGAAGAAATTAAATAATGTATAATATATGGTTAATTAAAATATTAAAATGATGAATGATGACGTAGTTGTACAATTTAAAAAATATTTTTCATTTTGGAATTTTACTAGTTTGAATGACACATGATATTTGAATATATAAAAAATAACACATGGTATTTTTTCTATAAAAAGAAAATGACACATGATATTTTTTTAGTAACTTGTTTAATAGCATTGACTTTCTACTTAATATGTATTCTTTTATTAATTTTTGTTATTTTTTTGTTTATAGTTTAAAATTATATTTTTTTGTGTAATTATATTAATTAATTTATTAAAAGTTGGATAGAAATATACTAGACAGTCAAATTTGAATTAAAAAGAATTAATTTTGATGGCTTTCAAATCATAATTTTTAGTTAAATAGTAAGAGACAAGAATCTTTGAATTTATATATGTTCAAAGTTTAAGAATCTGTTCATTATTCGTTATGTATAAAAAGAAGAAGAGAATTTTTTTTTTATCTAGAATCATTGAGGTGATATTTTCTTGTTGTAATATCATTATATAATATTAATATAATTGTTTTTAACCGGTCAAATGTTCAATAAAATTGAATTATCTGAAATGGTTTTAATCTTCACCCTTATAACACATGTTTTTTATTTGGGAATGAAATAAAAGAATAATTAATAAAATACAGGGTGATTTAAAAATATTTATGATGTTTTTGCTCATTTTCTTACTTTACTAGAATTTCAAGTTTTTTTTAGGAAGTCTTGGATGTTTTCATATGATTTTTCTTAGGAAACGTTTTAGACATGAATGACTTCTATTTTATTTATTTATTTATTTCTAAAATCATGGATCAACCAGCTCTGGTGGGAGCTATAACAATGCATTTTCAAATTCAACGATCATATCTAATAAACAATTACAAAAAAGTTAAATTTAAAAGTAATCAATTAGAATGATTTGAATATAAAATAATAGCTCAAATCCACTACTGTCATCATATCATTATATTATATTCACATAGCTTAAATTCATGACCTACCTACGATAATCATTCACAATATCTCTTTTCTTTTTAATGGAATACAATAATCTTATATGATGGACTAAATTTTTGTAATTTTGTTTAAAATACAGAAAAGGATATTGAAGTAATGTCACATATTGACAAAAATAAATTTTGTGCGGTACAATATGACAAAATCAACACAAATTAAGTGGTTGGATCTAAATAATTAATGAGCTTTATATAAGAATGAATCATTTAGAAGAGTTCAAGTTTGAATCTTTATTAGAACAATTAATTAGTATTTATCTTTTAATTAATAATAGATTAACATTGGATTTAATAGAGAGGATCATGATTCGATCTTATATAATTATAATCGAGACAGAGTTATAACCACTTGATATTAAAATTGACAATTGAACCAAATTAAACTAGCGCTGAAAAGAAAAACAAAAAACAAAAAAATAATAGATTAACATAAATATTTTTCTTAATAGGATGTATATTCTTTATTGGATTTGTCCACTGTTATTTGGACGATATTTGAAGGAAAAAATTTGTACAAATTTTTTTAGATTCTTCCTATCTTTTAAAAATTCTCTCAATTTACCCTTAATCAGGTCAGATCATTTAAAATGTGGCACTGGATTTTTTTTATTTTTACATTTAATTTATATTCTACGTATGTAAGTGATTCATAGAAATGACTATTATACATCCAGTTATAATTTAACAAAATATATTATATAATTTTTCCCACAAAATATATATATATATATATATATATATATATATATATATATATATATATATATATATATATATATATATATATATATATATATATATATATATATATATATATATATATATATATATATATATATATATATATATATATATATATATATATATATATATTATATAATCTTGAATCATAGATTAAATTGAGTTTATCATATGGAAATGACAATTACAGTTTTGAACCATAGATTAAATTGATTTCATCACTTCACTTTACTCTACATATTTCACAAAAATTAAAAGTACTTGCAACTCAAAGATGCAAGAGAAAGCATTATTACCCTGGACAAGGATTCTACATAAGCAGTAGGAATTTCTATTTCAGCAAGAACAAATCTATTTATCGCCATAGCAGCCTTAAATATCTTATTAATACAATTTCTACACTACTGCGAACTTTTCCTATCATCCTCACACAACCTATTTGGCAAAAACTTAGGAGAAGGAAGCCACCATTTCTCTTCTTGCCTAACAAAAGGTCTACCATACTCATCACAATCCTTAAAATCAGCCAACACAATTCCGCTATCCACATACCAAAACTGTGTATCACAAAACCCATCCAACATACTTATCAGCATTCCATCAAGCTTCTTCAAAGCAGGACGATTGATGTATATATCAGACTTCGGTCGTGTCACCATCACTTCATAAGTTTTCCACTAGGAAATTGTTGCACAGAAGGCACAAGCTAACAATCGAAACACAACATCTCACTACCATAACTTCACCGCCGTGCCATCAACCCTGTATCACCGCTTCCCCATCATCACCTTCCCATTCCAAATGTTAAAAATCACGGTCATGTAGACGATGGAGAGTTCAGATTCAAGCAGTGATCAGTGGCGGAAACATTAAGATCGCGACGTCATCTTCAGTGAAGAACAAACCCCCCTTAGTAATTACTTCAAACACACTAGTTTATTTTGATTTCGTTTGAGTTAGGGTTTTGGGGTTTCAAAACCCGATCTAGAATGCTCGGTGAGGTTTTCGGTTAATCTGAGCTTGAATCTGTGATCAGGGGTTAAAGTTGGGGGGGGGGGGGGGGTTGTCGAGAGTTTTTGGTTTTAGGGTTTTTACAGTAGGGTTCCACCAGAGAAAATGGTGGTTGCCGCCGCAGACCACCAGTCACTTCATCTTCTCCAGTGAGGGAGGTGTTGGTCATTGTTTTATTTTCTACATAATGTGTTAGAGACATAAGAGGGAATGAGTTACGAGGGAGTGTGTATAATTGTCATTTTCATGGGTCACTTACACACATGGAATATAAATCAAATGGAAAAATAAAAAAATTCAATGACACGTAAGCATTTTAGATGAGTTGGCTTGATCAGAGAGAAAATTGAAGGAATCTTCAAAAGATAGGGAAAACTAAATTTTTTCAAATATCACCCAATTAACAGATGTCAAATTAGCTATTAACCTTTTTTTTTTTAGGAGGGGATTGTCTAGGTGACATTACTCTCTAGTAAAATCTAAACCACTCAATTTTTATATATTAAATAAATTATATTATTGAAAATGAATAGTTATGATTAACAATGGACTACATCTAGGAAAACCTCACCGGAGAAAATCCTATCCCTTCTTGTTTTAGTTTATTTTAGTGGATAGTAACAACTTTCTAACAAGTACTATATCAAAATTAGTTTAAGTAATAAAAAATTCCTATCTATTGAATTGAGAGAGCAATTTAAAGCGAGACAAATACCATCATATTTAGGTAATAAATTGGAGGATTTGGTTGAGAATTGTTTTAAACTAAAAAATTGATTAAAATTAATAATAACTAAAATAGTTAGGATTTTATGACTACCATATTTTTCACTATTTCTTAATAAAGATTCTAAATATAAAAAGAATATCTTATTATCACGATAACTGCAATATATATTAAGACTAAAGCCTTGACAAGAAATTCTATTATTCTTAAACAATGAACCTAAATTTCTTAGATGGACTTTTATTATTCAATACATAATATAGAATAACTTTTGCAATATTTTAAAATCGCACAGGTGATCAAATTGGTGATAGTACTATATCACTAGTTTATCGGTTAAATCATTAAATTATAAGTCGAATCGCATGAGCACACCAAATTAAATTAATAATTTAGTTAAATAAATTAGTCTCTATAATAAAATTATATATTTATTAAATCAATCGAATCAGATGACTAAGTATCTAAAAAATATTACAACACCTATAAAATTTTAAAACTTCAAAATATCATAATTTCACATATTTATTATTTAAATTTAAATTTTAAATATAATCATCACTCACAACAAAATAATACAAAAATATAAATTTAAATAATTTTGAACCAAATCTATACTACTACAAAAAGTATTTTTAATCTCGTGCACAAAAATGCATTTTTACCTCGGCTATAGAAACAAGGTAACAAATGACGTCATGAAAAATAATCACTTAACACCCCAATTTATAAAATATCGAGGGGTAAATTTATTTGCGTATGAGTTCAAACTCTATCATCTGCTTATTATTTACAAAATTAGCGCTTCATACATCTCGGTTAAATAATAAAAATGAGGGATAAGATATATTAGTTTTTTTAAATTAAAACTCATTACATTGTTTACACAAAAAATTAATAAAATAATTTGTTTACAAACTAAAACATTTACCGAGAATATTATATTGTTTACACAGAATAATAAAATAAAATTAATTTGTCCATGAAAATCAAATGTTGGATCTTCAAATCTTTGATATTCTGGGAAGATCAAATGTTGAGTGTCAATATATTTTCTATTGTTTTTCCTTGTATTTGTTTCTAATATGAACAAAAAAAATGGTTAGAAAAAAAGGTTAGATGAATAAATATTTAAGAACACAAATCTTAAACCTAAATAATTATCTGCTCTTGATATCTATCATAGAGAATTCTTCATGGCAAATACTCTTGCAAACCTTAAAGTGGAGGATGGAGATAGTTTCAAGTGTTTCATGATGTTTCGTTATCAATTTTAGATATCAGAATGTTTCTATAATGAAAGTTTTTTAGGTTTCACGCGGATCACTAATGGTAGTGCCTTGAGCGTTGATGCTCATGAAGTGGATG